CTTCATTGATTCTCAGTTCGTCTTGGAGGAATCCAAGCGCAGCAAGTACCAGAGCTTGACAAAAGCCGCCCGTCGAAACTTGTTGCAACCCCGGCCTTGTACCGCCCCGGCACGCGGCCCTTCCAGGCAGTTCTCCCTGCGCGGACAGTCCTTTGTTCCGCGCCCTGTTTCTCGTATTGACGAACGAGACGAAGACAGCGTTGTCGACAATGCCGAGGAGAGGCAAGTCAGCATCATCGCTGATAACAGCGCCCTTAGCCACGTCTCGCACGAAAACCAAGAAAGGAGCCTTAGTTTCCTCATCAAGACGCCCGGCAAGACTAGGAGCGGCGGTCTTTTCCCTGACGCAGGAGCTTTCATCAGCCACCACGTCGGCAATCTGTCTCTCAGTCCCATGTCCGAGTTTACTTTGAACCACAACGAGAAGTCATTTGGCTTCGAAGTCAGCTACATTGTAGACGATCAGCGACTCGTCACCGGAGACGGCTCCAAGAAGGTCATGTCCATGACAGTTCGCGATCTTGTCGACCGATTGACCGAGATTGAGCCTTTTGAGCCCTACTGGGAGGACTTTACAGAACTGGATGTTAGCGAGAGGCGGCTCTCGAGCCTGCACATGTTGGACGAGTTCTGTGGTCGCTTGGTGAGCCTTGACGCATCTGATAACTCCATTGGTCATCTCGATGGAGTACCGGCATCAGTCAGACAGCTCAAGATCACCAACAACATGATTACTGAGTTGACGTCATGGGATCATCTCATCAACCTCCAATACGTCGACCTCTCCAATAACGATCTCACAAGCCTGTCAGCCCTGAAGAACCTCGTTCACCTTCGTAGCCTCAAGGCCGACAACAACAAGCTGACATCTCTTGACGGCCTGAACCAGCACGATGGTCTACTGTCGTTGCGGGCACGCAATAACTTGATTGAAGTTGCAGACTTTGATGGCACCAAGCTACACAGGCTCACAGAACTGGATCTTTCTGGAAACAAGGTCAAAGAGCTACTGAATGTCGGACAGCTCTCTTCACTCGAGACCCTCAAACTACCCCGCAACAAGCTTGTTGCATTCACCGCAGAGGATGCGCAAGGCCTCGACGGTTTGCGCTATCTGGACCTCAGTGACAACGAGATCGCCGAGCTTGATATCGGCCGTCTACCTGCAGTGCGGCTACTCCATGCCGATAGGAATCGCATCACGAACATCACTGGTTTCACCAAAGCTCGCCACTTGGACAGCTTATCTTTGAGAGAGCAGCGTGGCGATGGCCAACTGGACCTGTCTTTCCTTTCTTCGGCGTACGAAGTTCGGAAGCTCTTCCTCTCTGGAAACTACATTGGCGCTTTCGAGCCCAAGGTAGATTTCCTCAATCTTCAACTACTCGAGCTCGCCAACTGTGGGCTCCACTGTTTACCGGAGGGCCTCGGGCTATTGATGCCAAACCTGCGATCGTTGAATCTCAACTTCAACGCTATTGCCGACCTTTCACCCATTCGATTCGTTCCCCGGCTCAAGAAACTTCTTGCTGCTGGCAACCGCCTGGCGGACTCGACATCAGTCACGGAACTCTTGACGGACTTCCCGCACCTGACGCAGTTGGATCTGCGGGACAATCCAATTACTCAGGGCTTCTATCCGCCAGTGCAGGTTATGGTCCCAGCAGACCGGGGCAATTTTACTGATCCTTTCGTCCTGCCTGAAGCCGATACGCAGAGAGACGAGGTATTTTCCAAACGTCTCGACGAGGCGACCCGTCTCCGTCGCCGGTTATACCAGGTCATTTTCGTCGGTTGCTGCAAGAGGTTGAAGCTCCTCGACGGCTTGCCCGTCAAGCGGCAGCTCATGCTTGCACGCGACCCAGCTTTTCAGGCGTTGGTCCAAGAGGGTCTCTTGCCCAGCGATAGCGCCGGCGTCCCAGCTTCACCTGCTGCCAAATCTCAAGCCAAGACTCCGGCTAAGACTCCGGCAAAGACGCCGACCAAGAGCTCGACGAAGCCTCCGCCGTCGCGGTCTTCGTTCAAAGCTCCAGCCGAGGCTCCCGCCAGGTCTTCGCCCACCATTCGGGTTACGGCTCCGGCCAATGAGCCGAGCCAGTCACCCGCCCCTAAGAGTGCGGTCAGCAGTCGCTGGAACGCAGAGGACAGCTTCGCCTGAGGCACAGGACATTGTATTATATGATGATGGCAAAAAAAGAGGGGGGCGTTTCTAGCACAGCCAGGAAGAGTGTGCTTTTATTCATGTTCATATTGATAATCTTTCAACGGTCGGGAAAGGCGTCTGGGTAATCATTCAAAAGGAGCAGGGCTTAATGACGAAACGGAAGTATTGTACGAATAGGGATGGTAGAAAGCATTGATTCAAGAGGTCCGGAGAATACAGACTTTGCATCTGGAGTACAATGACGATTGGGCTGAGCGATGATTGATGTGAAGCTTTTGGCGTGGGTGCATGACTTGATCGCAATTCCACGGACATTGCCATTCAGTTAAATGTAACAGAAGTTGGGAAAGCAACGACGGGACGGCAGCCGGCAGCCTTCCGTGCAGCCGGGACCCACCTGCGCCGAGGTTACGGTGCATTGCCGAGCCGGCGGCCCCGGAGGCGATCTATGTTGCTATCTACGCCTCAGCGACCTCGTCATCGCGGGCTCGTGCTCGCGCTCACGATACGAGGTTTCTTGATTTTTGGGCAAGGGCACAGAGTATGTCGTAGATGGACATTCTGGCGCGCGCACTGGGTCTGGGCGTCGCACGATGGTTGTGTGTGTGTCGTGGTGTCCTGAATCGCTCATGTCCCGGAAAATTCTTTCGGTTTCAAGGGAGATTATCGTCCGGCGAATCGAGCAGGTCGCCCACACACACACAACAGCCAGGCACATACAACAGGCGTACCTACCAGGCACGCCGGCCGGCGACCGCGCAGCCGGGAAAGTTGATCGCGGGGGGGGATGGGACGGCGAGGGGGGCGATTAAAATAGGCACTAGGACCCCTGAAATGAGGTGGTAATATTAGGGAGAGCCCGAGATGGGATAATCGGGAATAGGCTGGGTGCCCGAGTGTGTGTCTTTTCTGTCATTGAGCGTGCCAGTCGGTGCCTGACATGACACGCACAAGGTACGGACAGACGGTTCGTTTGGACGCGGAGGTCACGATGGAGGAGGACCCTTAGATTTTTTTTTGAGTGGGCTCTTATTTTTTTTCTGCCCTCCCTTGGGAGTTGGTCTCGTGGGCATTGGAAGAGTTGGGATGAGGACGAAGGCAGAAATTCCAGCCCAGGATTGTCTTTGTTTGTGGAGGGAGGGGGAGTGCTTGTTTGTCATTGGTCTTGGAGGCAACCCAGACAGGGAAGGTAGAGATTTGGATGTGAGTGGTTTTTTTGCTGTGAGTTTACAGTTGGTAGGGCTCTCGATATTGAGGCTGTATTATTAGGAGAGGGGGGACGAGACGACGCGTCGACGATTTCTCGTGGTCATCCTAGGGCTTCGTTCTTTGCGATTTGGTGCTCGTCTGAGCATGAGACTGGGAGTCGGGGACGATGAGACTCAGGGAATGCCCTTGGAGACTGGGGGTTGTTGGGTACGCAGAGGCATGGCAGGGCTGCGCTGGCGGTGATTGTCGAGGACGGGGGACCCGGGCGAGAGGGAGGAAGGGGGGAGAGAGGGCGGGTTGGCACGTTGTTTAAGAGCCCTGATTTGCATCCCGAAGGGTAAGGTACCGTGTCAGAGTGTGTCCCTTGTATTCCCATGTTGCGTGTTGCTTGTGTTGTGGGCTTGTTAGCAATAGGTACCTTAGGTAGCAGCCCGGCCGAAGCTTTTTCCAACTGCTAGTGATGTGGCACTAGACCCTCCTTATTTCCTTTATTTGTTATGGTTGACGTGTACGTGTCCACGATGGTTGGTGAGTAATACTCTAGATGGACGAAGCAGGTATTTGGATGTTTACATGGACTAGTGTATAAGTAGGCGCAGTACACTTGATATGTATCCAACTCAGCCATCGAAGCCAAAGGAAAAGGAGCCGAAGCTGGAAGACGGGACTTTGGGCGCCATGCACAACATTCGCCTCCTGCTTCGGCCCGTAATAAGGCATTGATGGTGAGGGTCCCTAGTGGAATCTTCGGCCGGGCTGAGGTGGGAGTGGATTGTCCTACGCGGTATCCGTAGTGGGCACTGGGCTGCAGCTGAGGCGCCTGAGGTAATCGTGATCGCGCATCAGAGGAGACTGTTGCGGTACATGAAGATGTGCCCCATCACCGCCAAGTGCTGCGGGAGACTTGGCGAGATCAAGTACAGGTACTTGGGACGCCGTGGAATCCAAATGGAAGCTGCCAGGCCTGTCGCACCCCTCGACCTGCCTGCACAAGACGCGATGCACAGCACAACAAAAGCAATGGATGGCACCCCAGAGAATGATCAGAGACCCGTTAAGGTCCCCCTCACCAGTCACCTCCACTAAAGTCACCTCCACTGGGCAGCCACAGCAGCGACTGGTGGTCATTGACTGCGGAAGAGGTGAGGTGTCGGGCAGGCATGTCCCGGATCCCTGACTGCATAAACCGTCATCGCGCTCTGCTCTGGCACCTGGGTGTCCACGGGTGTGTGTGTGTGTGTGTGTGTGTGTGTGTGTGTGTGTGTGTGTGTGTGTGTGTGTGTGTCCAAGTGTCCCGCCTGCCATTTTGTGCGCCATCCAACCAACCCATCCCGTTTCTGGTGTTGCTATCATTATTACCTATTCCCTAGACCTCTAGCGTCTGTCATTCCTCAACGTCGACTTCCCCTTATTCCACCTGTCTTGCTCTGCACCACCCACGAACACACCAGCAGCTACTTTACTCCCAAACACAACTACCGCATCCTTCACCGCATGGCATAACTTCCCCCACGAAACAACTCTGAGCATCGATCGCCGTCGCCCCAGCTGGCTCGCACAGCCAACCCTCGACTGTTCTTGAAACCATGACGTTTGGTGTCATCACCCGCCAAAACCAGCACCAGCCATGGACTCAGAGCCTTCAGTTCCCCTTGCGCGCTCCATCTCCCAGCACAGCGCAACGTCCATGAGGAGTGCCCGCTCCTCTACCGTCCGCGGCAAACGATCGAAGCTCAACTCCCAGCCCTCGAGCTCCGCCAGCTCTGTCGCCGCCTCCGAAGACAAGTCTCTGACGAGCTTTCCCTCCTTCTCACCAGACTCGCCAAGGGGAGACACCTCCTTCCCTCCCGACCCCGTCACCCCCGACCCAGAGCCTGAGCCCCCCGCGACCGTCCGCAAGATCTCTGACGCCAGGTCCAACGCCTTCTCTCTGCTGGGCAACCTCACCGGCAGCACCCCCGCTGCTGAACAGGCTGCCCGCGATGCGCTGTTTGAGGACTCGCCCATCTCGACGCACAAGATACCCGGCGCCCTGCACCATGCCAACGACGAACACATCCACCGCCTGATTGCCAGAGACGGCGCCGTGCCCCTCATCAGGCAGTTCGCGACCGACCTGGCACAGCGCGACGCTCAGATCGCCCAGCTGAGGAGGAAAGCCGATGAAAGGGAGAGGGCTCTGCGGAAGATCATTCTGGAATGCGGGCTATCCAACCTGGACCTCGAGACGAGATTGCGGGCCATCGAGACCGACGTCAAGACAGCCCGCCCGGGCAACCGTCGCAACGAGAGTGGTCTCTCGGACCTGATGAGCGATGCTATGCAGGACACCGTCATTTACAACGTATTTGGCCAGACCGACAACGAGGCGACCGTCCGCGCCAGCAACCTCTCCATCCCCTCCAACCCTGATGGCCGAGGCACGACGAGAGGCTGGAAGGACTTTCTCTGGGGCGGTACGAGCAGGAAGAACAGCGGACCCAACAGCGTCAACGGAGACGACACAAAACCCGCTGCAGTTGTCAGAGCGCAGTCGTACGGTGACAGGCGGCCGGGCCTGCAGGATGACCTGTTCAGTCCGCCGCCGGAGAGCGTTGCGTCTGACAATGTTCCGCCTAGGACCCCAAGTCGGGCGTCCAGCATCCAGTCTGGCCCACCTGGGTCGCGCAAGGCTTCGACTTCAGTCGCTGCCAGCCTCATGAGACTGGTCGCTGGAGGCGCCATCAATACGCGCGAGGGAGGCCCCAACCGCGGCCGATCTAATAGTGCTACTCAGCCGCAGTCGACCATGCGAGCATCGTCTACATCTAGTGCCAAGACGACTCAGTCGAGTAGGGTGGTCTCTACCCAGGGCGGTCCCAAGGCACTCATGGCCATGCGCCGAACAGGACCTATGAACAATCCTCCTTCTGGTGCGACTACAGCGCGAACCCAGCCTCAGGAGAGATGGGACACCATGACGGGTAGCCCTACCAGCGCCACGCCCAGGCAGGAGAGCTATGGTCCCGTGGAAATGGATGCGATTCTCCCGCCCGAGACGCAACCCCCAACCTTGACACATATTTACAACAACTATGTTGGTAGCGAGTATCTTACCGATCGCTTCGGGTTTATCTACGATCAGCGTAGAAAGAAGAGACAGCGTGAAGCGGCGCAGATGGCTCGCCGCTACAAGTTAGGAGGGCGAACCGAGATGCTGTCCAATGGACGCTCGGATTTGTCCCCGTCGATGATTGAAGAAGAGCAAGTTCCGAGTCCCGGAGGCAGCGAGGAGCGACCCGACAGCCCTTCTTCCGCCGAGGAACGCTCGAGCGAAGGCAGGCCTAAGAAGTGGCAAGATTACCTCAAGCTGGCGACATTCCCGACAGAGCTGTTGTCTCACACCCCCGCACTCAGCGCACCGTCTCTGGAGGTGCTCGAGGGAGGTGAGCTTGGCATGAAGTCTCCCGGTCTTATCACGGTTGATGAGCGTGGCTTCGTTCCCATTGCTAGCGCTACGATTTCAGTCACCGAGAGCGAGGCAACGCTGCCTGTCGAGACCGATGCGGCCGCGGGGACCGTTGTTAGGGACGACACCGAGCCGGTGAAGCTGCTTCTCCAGCAGATGGGGGAGTTGCATGATTCTTTGCAGCGAGAGAAGGCAGCTCGTTGGAACGAGTTCCTGCGCAAGGTCCGGGCTGAGCAAAAGCGAGACGGCGAGGCGGCGGCAGCCGCTGCAGCGGCCGCAGCCGAGGCTCGGTATCAGCGACCTGCCGTCAACCTGCCCGAGGCAGCGCTGGCCGACGGCGAACTGATCGGCATCACCGGCCTCGGACTCAAGGGCAAAGTCGGCCGCGCCAAGCGTACGGAGCTTAGAAACCTGGTTCTCGGCGGCATCCCCGTCAACTTGCGTGCAAAGGTGTGGTCTGAATGCTCGGGTGCCACAGCCCTTCGCATCCCAGGTTATTATCAGGACACCATTGCCCGCCTCGACGAAGCGGACGATCCTATCGTGGTCTCGCAGATCCAGGCGGATATAAATCGAACCTTGACTGACAACATCTTCTTCCGCAAGGGACCTGGCGTCACAAAGCTGAATGAAGTTCTGTTGGCGTACGCTCGCCGCAACCCTGAAGTTGGCTACTGCCAGGGCATGAATGCCATTGCGGCTAACCTACTGCTGATCATGCCGTCGGCAGAGGACGCTTTTTGGATTCTGTCGAGCATTATCGAGAAGATCCTGCCAGCCGGCTACTACGACCACAGCCTTCGATCGTCTCGCGCTGACCAGCTCGTTCTACGAGAGTATGTGGCCGAGGTGCTTCCAAAGCTCTCACAGCACTTTGACGAGCTGAACATCGAGCTCGAGGCCTTGACCTTGGGATGGTTTCTCAGTGTATTTACGAGATGCCTTTCCGCCGAGGCTCTGTTCCGCGTGTGGGACGTGGTGCTTTGCATGAACGACGGCAGCACCTTTCTGTTCCAAGTCGCGTTGGCGCTCTTCAAGCTTAACGAGTCGCAGCTTCTACAATGCGAAACGTCGGTGGCTGTGTACTCGTACATTAACGGGCAGATGACGAACCACGCCATCAGTATCGATAACATGATCAAGGCGTCAGACGGTCTTAGGAAACTGGTCAAGCGCGAGGATGTAGAGGCGCGGAGGGAGAAGGCGATCCAGGCTGAGCTGAGGCTTTCCAGGCAGAGGGAAGAAGCGAACGAGCTTAAGCGGGCTAAAAGGACCAACAGAGCCAACGGCAACGGAAACGCAGAGGATAGCAGTGAAGGCAATGGAGAGGCTGTTGCCAGCGTGGGAGCAGAAGGAGAAGCGGCAGCGACGGTCAATGCGCCGGCCGAGGAAGCGCAGTAGGGGCGGGAGGGAGCAGTTCGCGGGCGAAGCCGCGTTGCATTTTTTGGTGTTTTATGGACGTCCATGATACCCCCCTGACCGATTGGGAAGGCAGTCAAAATAGCGTCTTTTACATACATACAATACACGATCCTTGTAGCGTTGCTTTTTGAACCAGTTGTTCTCTCTATTCCTTGCGTGAAGTCGTCTAAAATCATGATGGTGGCTCACAGCTTAGCCTTGCCGGCCTTCCAGTCCGCGGCAAACTTCTTGCCCTCCTCGATCCTCTTCTTCTCAAGCGCCTCCCTCGCATCCCACCGCGCCTCTTCGCCATCGTACTCCTCTTTACTTAGATAAAACGCGCTCTCCCGCCACATCTCCGCCTTCAGGACGCCATAGACCCCGGACTTGGCCTTCTCGGTCAGCTTCTTGTCGGCGATGAGCTTCAGCGCCTCGTCCATCCCGCCGAGCACGTCGACCAGCCCGGCCTCGAGCGCGGCGGGCCCGCCGAAGCGCTTCGCCTCAAGGACGATCTCCTGGTAGACCCTCGGCGAGCACTTGATGCGGAAGATGCCGCTCATGGGGGGTTTCAGCGGGGCGCCGAACTCGAGCTCGTTCATGCAGAGGAAGCCCTTGCTCGGGTTCATGACGCGGTAGTCGTGGTGCATGGCGGTCATGAAGCCGCCGGCGAAGCCGTGGCCGGGGAGCAGGGCGACGGTGGGCATGGGGTAGGTGAGGAGGCGCTTCCACATCTTGTAGAGGGGGTCCGGGAAGAAGCCCGGGGTGGCGAAGGCGTGTTCGAGGTCGAGGCCGTTGGAGTAGAACTTTGGGATGGCGGAGGTGGTGAGGAGGACGCCGGGCGGGTGGGAGAACTCGATGATGTCGAGGGCGGCGAGGAAGGCGCGGCAGAAGGGGGTTGTGAGGCGGTTGTCGGGCGGGGAGGACCAGGTGAGGAGGTAGACGAGCGGGGAGGGGGTGGTGCAGGTTATGGTGCCGCCGGGGTGGGAGTCGAGTTTGGGGATGGGGATTATGAAGAGGGGGGTTGGTGATGACATTTTGGCGTTTTGGTGATGATGGTGTCTTTTTGGCACGGATGAGAGTTTACGAGAGGGATGAGACGGATAGGCTGGGAGCTTCGAATTGAGTTGAGATATCTAGGGAGTTCAGATGACAGCTCAAGGATACAGCTGTTTGAGGTGAGATATTCAAGATGGAGCTTGAAAGATGGATCTGTAGATTGGTAGTATATGGACCAAGGCGGCTGAATGAGGATGGTCAGTCTTACTTGTAAGCGACGGTGACCTCGGTTCGGGAAACGGAATGCGAAAGGGACAGGAGCCGTCTACTAATCACGGCGCAATGCACGGCGGCAGTCTGGCTGACACACCAACCTTAAAGCTGTCTGGTTCACACGCACAGGCGCCAATCCTCCAATGAAGATGGCTGCCATTGTTTTTTGGCTTTCTGGCCTGCTCACGCGGGATCAGTCTGGAGATGGGCTTTCACATGTGAAGGCCTGAGACTGAAGACTAGCCGCCAGTCTGCAGCGCTTCTGACGCACCCCAGATGCCGCCTCGACTCAACCCCGGACCTGGGCGTTTCTTAGGTAAGGAGCTGTTCCACTTGCAGCAACCAATCACCAACGACACAGAGGGGAGCTCCTGCCTCCTAGGTCAATTCGTCCCACTTGCTTGCGACTCGTCTCAAGTCGCATTTCTGTCCTCTCGGAAGGAGGCAGATCAGCTTTCTGTCTGCACACCACACCACCACCACAACGCACACAGCGACCGCAACCATGGCGGAGAAAGACGACGGCAAAAAGACGGTGGTCTTTTTCCATCCCGACCTGGGCATCGGCGGTGCAGAGCGCCTCGTCGTCGATGCAGCTGTTGGACTCCAGAACCGCGGCTGCAAGGTTGTCATCTTTACGAGCCACTGCGACAAGGGCCACTGCTTCGAGGAAGCTCGAGATGGTACCACCCTCCCTCCCCCTCAATGCCGACGCCGAAGCAGCCTCAACTGACACTCTCCCCTCGCAGGAACCCTCGACGTCCGCGTCCACGGCGACTGGCTCCCCCAATCGATCCTCGGCCGCCTCACGATCCTCTGCGCCATCGCCCGCCAGATAACCCTCCTCCTCCACATCTACTTCTCCCGCGAGCTCCAGTCCCTGGACCCGGACTTCTTCTTCGTCGACCAGCTCTCCGCCGGCCTGCCCCTCCTGCAGTACCTCGTCCCCAAGGCGCCCATCCTCTTCTACTGCCACTTCCCCGACATGTACCTCGCCCTCGGCCGCGAGCGCTGGTGGAAGCGCGTCTACCGCGTCCCCTTCGACTGGGTCGAGCAGTGGAGCATGGGCTTCGCCGACGAGATCGCCGTCAACTCGGGCTTCACCAAGGGCGTCGCCACCCGCGCCTGGCCCGCCCTCGCCAAGAAGAAGAACTTCAAGGTCGTCTACCCCTGCGTCGACATCGACCCCAAGAAGAGCGAGACCGTTTCGACAGAAGAGCCCGTCTGGACTGACAGGAACATCATCCTGAGCATCAACCGCTTCGAGCGCAAGAAGGACATTGCCCTCGCCGTCAAGGCGTTCGCGGCGCTGCCCAAGGAGAAGAGGAAGGGCACGCGGCTGGTCGTCGCTGGCGGGTACGACCTGCGCAGCGCCGAGAACTTCTACTACCACAAGGAGTTGGAGACGCTGGCCAAGGACCTGGGTCTCGAGTCGTTCACGGCCAAGAACATCATCACGGCGCTCTCCGCGCCCGCGGACATTCCCGTCTTGTTCCTGCTGTCGATCCCCTCGAGCTTGAAGGACAGTCTGCTCAAGTCGGCCAAGCTGCTGGTATACACGCCCTCCAACGAGCACTTTGGCATCGTGCCCCTCGAGGCAATGTTGGCCGGCGTTCCGGTGCTGGCGGCGAACACGGGCGGACCGACGGAGACGGTCATGGATGGCACTACCGGCTGGCTGCGGGAGCCGGACCAGGTGAAGGAGTGGACGAAGGTCATGGACACGGTGCTAAACAAGATGAGCAAGAAGGAGCTGGAAAAGATGGGTGCGGACGGCGTGCAGAGGGTGCGCGTCGGCTTCGGGCAGGAGAAGATGGCGGAGAGGATCGACAAGATTCTCGATGACTTGGCGGACAGGCAGAGGGTTCCGCCATGGATCAATGCCGTGCTCAACTTCCTCGGCATCGGCATTTTCTTCGCGTTTGGGTTGGCCACCTCGAGCATGCTTGCTAAGTCGCAGAAGAGAGATTGAAGTAGGGAAGATTGAGGATGTAGATTTTTCTTGTACGATACCTGTCAATGTTGATATCAAGCCGTTCCGCGGATCACATACACCCTTACGCTACTTCCTTTACCTTGATTACCCCTGGCGCGATGCACCCCACACCCGACCCCCACGTAGCGGGGTAAATTCCGCCCATGCAGTGACATGCACGCGTCGTGCTCACTTCATCAACCACCACCAGCCATCCCATCCCACTCTCACAAAAATGTCTCGCAAAGCGCTCGTCGATTTCTTCTCCCGCTCCCTATCGTCGTTTCAATCGTCCCAAGAATCCTTCAGGGTCCTCTGCACCCTCCCCCACCACCGCGAAGATGCCGCGCCGTCCCCATCCCCGCGCCGGCCGCAGCAGCCCGTGAAGCGCCTCGTCGTGCTGGACTCGAGCTTCAACCCGCCCACGCTGGCGCACCTGCGCATGGCCACGTCCGCGCTCCAAGCCGGCGGCGGCGCGCGGCTGCTGCTCCTCCTGGCCGTGAACAACGCCGACAAGGCCCCGAAGCCGGTCGCCTTCGCGGTGCGGCTGGGGCTGATGTGCGCTTTTGCGGAGGACCTTCTCACGCAGGGGGCGAGGGAAGGGTTGGAGGTTGATGTGGGCGTGACGACGATGCCGTTTTTCCATGGCAAGGCGCGCGCGGTGGAGGGCAGCGGGGTTTATGGGGACGGGGTTGAGCAGGTGTATCTGGCGGGGTATGATACCCTCATCCGGATCTTCAACCCGAAGTATTACCCCGAGGCGGAGGGGGGTATGAAGGCTGCGCTGGGCCCGTTTTTGGCACGGGGGAGGTTGATAATTAGTTTGAGGGTTGGGGATGAGTGGGGCGGGGAGGGGGAGCAGCGTGGGTATTTGGAAGGTTTGAGGGAGGGCGGGTTGGAGGAGTTGGGGGGCAAGAGGGAGTGGGCGGAGAGAGTCGAGTTGGTGACGGGGACGGAGGGAGAGGTTGTGAGTAGTTCGCGGGTGAGGGAGATGGCTGGGCGGGGGGATGAGGAGGGGTTGAGGGGGTTGCTTGGGGAGAGGGTCAGGGGGTGGGTTCTGGAGGAGGGGTTGTATCGTGAGTGAGGATGAGTGGTATATATAGAGAGGAGGTAGACATGGTGAACGGATAGAAGGCAAATCTGCCCAGATTGTGATGATGGTGTTGGACGTGTTCGATAACTCTGAGGGCCCACCTTTGTGGGTGACCTTGCTTGTGTGACTGGGCAGTGAGACAGGGATGGCAAGACGAAACTTCATCTTGGATGTGTTCTTGCGAATCACAGACTGATGATGGACAGAAGGGCCCACTTCCGGGTTGTACGTCACCTCACATCGCAATCCCGAGAGGAGTGCAAGGATCGATTACGCACGTCTGCGGCTGCACCATCAGCTCTGTTTCCAGTGTATGGATGCACTTATACCATTGTGGCTGGTGTTCTTGAGGTTTGGTGCCTCGCAGAGCTCTTTATAGCCGGTGTCTTGTACTATGCTCCAAAGAATGAGCAGAAACCGTCCCGCGGTAGGATTCTAGGGGGCCTGTTCAGGCAGACAGATATGCGAAAGTCAAATGGAGGGACGAGTCTCCAGGATAGTGTACTGAAAAGCAAAGCTACAAAGCTCCATGCTTTTAAGAAAGGGTATTCTCCTACTTTTAGATATTTACAGCAATGACGTCTGTTCTCAGGGCTGTGAAAGTAGGAGAATACTCTTTTTTGAAAGCATGGAGACGAAAGGTCTCACGGAGAGAATCGACGCTTCAATCAGAGACTAGTAGCTTGTTGCAACACTTGGGGAGTATTCAAGGTGCATCTACAGCTAATACATGACATCAGATGAGAGACGCCACCATCAACGGGACGCGATGGTGTTGAGCATGTTCCCACCAACAATTAGATGCAATAACAGGAGAGCAATCGCATTGATCAGGAAGCAGTGCATTTGCATCCTTTCTTGAGAACTTGAAAGCTCATTGCTGCCAGACTTTCTTAGTCCGTTTCACTATCAAACACCTACCTCTTTAGCTGACATGGAATATCATCAGTTCGGTCAAGACGTCGCGCTAGAAACTAGACGTACTTAAACGACGGAGATTTAGCCAGACTGTTTCTAGAAGTCAAGATCGGCTTATCGAAAAATCGTTGGTCGGGCGTGGTATGATGTGTCTCCGTTGACATTGCTACCAACCACATGTACTTTGAAGCTCTTCTTGGGATACTCCCGTGCGTCTGGAGATCCGCAGATAAAGATCTAAGGATTATTTGGGTCCATCTCAACAGGAACATACGGCTATAGGCAGAGATTGTAGACGAATCCAGCAGGGAGCAACCTGCATCTACGCCACATCGTGACGGCGAAGTCAGGCAATGGCGCAAAGCTGAGAATATGGCATGGCAGCAATCCTGGCCAGGTGACAAAATACATTGTTGAACTCAAACAGCATCATTGTGCAGATATCTTTGACTCATCGGGAAAATTCTTCTTATAACGGGCAGTATCCCATGTACATAGCGGTTCACAGCGTAGGCATGACAGCCAGATGCAGGTGAAAACGAACTGCAACACACCTGAGTCTGACAATCATGTCAACGTTCATAATTTTCCATCGTAACCATTGTCCATGCCACGACAGCGCGAACGGGGTTCAGAATCGCGGGTAGCTCGCCCGCCCGAGGTACGTTTCCCCCGCTGTGATCTAGCTGTCCCATCTGGATGATGGGTCCTGCAAGAAGGGATAAAGGCAAGAAAACGATGGCGAGAATATTGCATGGGGCTGAAATGCCAAGTAGATCGACAGTTTGCAGCAATGAGAGTATACTTGCTTCCGGAATCATGACATAGATAGAGACGATATGCGTGGGCACGACGATGAAACAGCACTGCGCTCGATTTCAAGCAGCCGGCTAGTTATTCTCAGAGACCTTTCTGGCGACTCGTCTACTTTGTATTAGTGGTAGGATATCGGTCTAAATACTCCTCTACTTGGGCCTTGAACAACTCTACAATGTCTTTAGTTCGCCTCCCCGCTCGGAGGTGTCAAGATTTCTCCCAAGGGCTGTGGAACCCCAAAGTTAGGAGTGTTGTTCTCATCAAACGTGACGATCTGAGCAGACGTGAATCTGTCTCCGCCACATGAGCCAGCTGAGTTTCTTGTAGCGTGGAAGGCGTTCTATCGACCATGTCAGTATGGGTAATTGTCCACGACCAAATCTATCTCTACAACTCACCCAAATCTCGGTTCCGTCTGGGGAGGTAAAGAAGGAGTTGTGGCCGGTGCCGTAGAGCCCATTGGCCTGAGAGAAGACCTGCCCTGTCTTGTCCCAGGAGCTCTTGAGGAGGGGATCGCCGCCGTTCCAGTGGAGGAGGCCCAATGAGTAGTTGGGCGTGGCGCAGTTGGAAGCGGAGTAGCACAACCAGATGTCATCACCGTGGTACAGGGGCTGCGAGTGTTAGCACGCTCAAGGGTTGTGTCGGAAGACAAAGCTTACGTGGGGTGCTTCATTAACGCCGACCAAATCGTCAGAAGGAGGGGGGTTGGCTCCGGTGATGTTTCTCTCCCAAGGCTGGTCCGGGATGGAAATAACGTGCCACGCGCCGACTGTCCAGCTATCCGTGTCAAGCTGGGTGATGGCCAGAGCCTGGTTGAACTCATTATCTCTGATGCTCAGAACATGGTATCTGCCGAAACCGGGGACCTCGAGAAACGTGCCGTCGATGCTGAACGCGAAGTTATTGTCGAGCCCTCCCCTTGATCCCTCGGGAGGAATCAAGTCAGCGAGATGCTGGAATTCGCAATCGTAGGGGCCAGGGGCGTCGCAGCCTCGCAGAACGCGCGTGGAGCAGCTGTCACAGCACGAGAGGCTGGCGTCGCAGCTGGAGTAGAACATGTACCAGACGCCGTCAATCTGGTGAAGCTCAGGTGCCCACATGTTGGCACTGCGGGTGGTGTTTGTGTCCGTCCAGATTGTCTTTTGCTCGCCATTGGGGAGGCCGCTCAGTTTGTCGGAGCGGACAATGGTGATTCTGTTGTACGAAGTGAACGTGCTGCCATTGAAGATCAGCCAAGGTTCCTGAACTGAGATTATTCACGCTGGATGAGGTACTCACAGGTGATAATTGCCGCCCGCAAATACGAGTGATGGATCGGGGGCGGGTTCTCTCACTGGGTTCTCAAAGGCCGTAGTGAGACCGGCCGAGAACACGGCGGCCAGGAGAGTTGATCCCCGGTTGAACAACATGTTGGCGGACTTTGGCCGTTGGGATGATCGTGATACGGTCCAATTCTCACTTGAGATCCAACATGCCTTCTGCCTTTCCCTGGAGAGGCCTTTATTTATTGTACCTAAGTCGGAAGCTCGCTGTTAACTTCTCCGGATTGCCGTCGGCCTGTGCCGCACCAATCCGCGCTTGAGATCAAACCCCACGACGAATGCACCGTACCCATGCCAAGCCTCTAGGACCTTCACGGGGACTCTCTCCATTCTTGATCGCATGATCAACGGTAAACCCCACAGATGCTGGTGCGGAGATTGTGGGGTTGACGATGCTGCTTGCCAAATCCAGCAGCTCGGTCGCCCAAAAAGACCAGAGCCGGGCCAATCATACCCTAGCAACGTTTATTGAACGGGGTTGGCATGACCCAAGGTGACGTTGTCAAGTCTAGTTTATTTGCGAGAAAGAACTGGAAGAGATGAACAGTCTGGAAGTCTGGCTCTTTATTCAGAATTAACTAACCGAAACGCATGTTTAATCCTCACGAGCTCATTAGCGGGCATCAGTGTACAAGTAGCCGTCATATGATAACACAGTCCAACAATGCTTCTTCATTCTGATCCACTACCAATATTGTCAACTCGACATGATTAGATACGGTTCAGGACTACAAGGAGTGAAGCAACCGTGGTAAGATCGTCTCAAGTCTGATGTGCCATTCCGTCTAATCAAGTTGATGAACTCCTGATCCCTACTACAGCAGATCATGAAGACTCATTCAATCCCTCAAGCCACCTCGCCAAATCCTTATGTCCCTCCTTCATCGCAAACCCAGCCGCAGTCAAGCCGGTCACCCTCTCCTTCTCCTCCACCCTTGCCCCATGCCGAATAAGCAACTCAACAAAGACCCTATCCCCCCGAGACGCCGCCACATGTAGACCATTGAAATGAGGCGACCTTGGACAGCCCGGCATATCATACTCCCATGGATTAGACGGCACCGTAGCATTCACATCCATCCCTCCAATCTCCTCCAGCACGAGCTCCATGATGGCCGACCTCACCTCGCCGTCCGCCTGCCGCGAGTTCGCGATGTCTACAATCATGGACCCAGATTCATATGCTGACGGTTCGGGGCCGTGCTTCATCTTTTCCGGTGGGAATATGCCCAGGAACTCGCGTGCCTGCGCAACCGATTTACACGACGCGAGGAACCTCCCGGCCAATGGCAGGTCATAACACAGACCCCTCTGAGCCAACGCGACAAGATACGCGTTTGCTTTCGGTGTGCCCATGGCCGCACTGTCGTCTGTCTCCTTAGTATATATGCCCATGGCGCCAACCTGTGTAGCCAGGAAATAGCCCTTCTCCCCATCGATCGGATCATGCAGCCAGCGCGAGTTGAGGATCTCTGTCCACAGAGTGATCTCATCAGACGAGTTAGTGACCGCTTTCGGTGAGTGCTGGAAGAGAGTTGTGTTGGGGTCGAGGCGGGTGTTGTATAGCACGTGGCTCTCCACGGCGTCGAATGTGGTCTGTGGAGGGGGGCCCGGAAAGCTTTTGATGAAGTGAGCGAAGAGGGCTGTGTGACGCCTGCAATAGCAGACTACAAGGAGCAGGTCGGCCAGTTCTGGTGTGAGAGATTTCAGGTCAAGACCAGTCTGCTGGCAGCGGCGATCGAATTCGCCAGGGTCGTTGACCGTCCACGCGAGGATGGCCAGATCTTTGAACCTGTATATGTCTGTCCACCAAAAATAGCGTCAGCTCAGTCTCGACGCATGTTGGTTCTACTAAGGGCCATCAAACCCGATGGGAACATAATTCACCTTCCTTTTCCAGCGGAACAAAGCTCGGCTCCAGGAACCATCTCTTTACTGCTCCAGCAAACAAGTCCAGCTCCATAAAATTGGCCATCCTGTTCTTGACGGGCACATCCCACTTGTGTCTCGGACCGTTCTTCTGCAGGTGCGACAACACCCCATCCATGTACCCAGAAAGATCGAGCTCGCCGGCGGCGAACTGAGCAGCGAGACGCACGAAGCACGTTTCCGTGGTATCGCTAAACTCATTTTTGACCTCGAATTCGGGCCAATCGTTGGGTAGTTCTAGTCGGACAATGGGCCCGGAGCTGTCTTGGCTGGGGGAGACATTCATCGTGCTGCGTCGGCGTAGGCAAGCGAGAAATTATGGTTGGGATTGGTTGGGATTATTTGCGGCGTGAAGCAATTGAGATTGGGTTGAGCGTGCACCCTGTATCTAAATAAAAGGTCATGTTGGAGCCTGCGATGGGCGGCCTCCTGTGCCGCTCTACTGCGTCACATATTTAGCTGGGGCTTTTTTATTGTGAAGTGGAACAGAAGCCAGGCTGGGCAGCGATGTGACGGCTGCGGGCACTGCAGAAAGGTGCGTGTTTGAGTTTACGAGCTGTCTATCGCTGTGCGGTACTTTCATTTCAAAAAGCACTATTGGGATGGCGGAGAAATTGGGCCTATGTTTTTACAATTCTCAGGCAGGAAAAGCAGAAGTTCGCCAGTGAATCCGCCTTGCTACGCTGATTCCTATTGGTGCTTCGATGTGCCTAGCATTCATCTCGGAAGCGAGCTCCGAATCTTGGCAGACGCCGAGGTTTTGGTGTGCTTACACGGGGATAAGCAACAGCGTTAAGTATTTTTTACGACGGTGGACAATGAGTCTTCTCATCATGTTCGAGTACAACGTGCCGCGCTTGAAGTGGAACCGCAAGGCTAAGCCGACGTTGCAAACTTGTTTTCTCAACAACCCCCATGATGTTGGAAGTTTTCGATTAGCTCATGTCAAGGATGAAGCCCCCGTCTTCACCCGTATTCCTTAGGGAGCGAATTTGCAGGCCGTCAAAAGTGGTCTCTTTCTCACGTGTTGCTGAAGCATGTAGCAAAGTTCGGCTAATGCGCGTGTATATTGAGTTAAAAGCAGAGTACACAAAATGCATCAAGACTCCCCTGGCCCAATGAATGATGGATGTTCCAATGTCGACGCTGAATGAGAGGGCTAAATGCCTTACAAACAAACTCCGTGATGGCCCGAAAAGAAATGAATGTTTGGACTCCCCACATCTATTTGGGGCATCCAGTTCCCCAGCCGGTGACAGTATCGCAGCAATCAGCGTCCTGATGGAAACGAGTAAGTGATGTGGCCAGTAAAAGAGAGTCGTAGATGTGCTTACGCAAGTCGCGGAAACAGGCGTGTTAGTGCCCTGCTTCATGACTCTGCTGCAATAGTTCGCCTTGTCGTTAAGACACCAGATCTCGTTGTTGGGGTTTTGTTTCTGGCAGGACTCGTTGTCCTTGCCCCAGCAGCAGTTCTCTTTCTTTCCGCTGACGTCGCACTATCATTCGTGAGTTAGTGGTCTACCAATTGGGGAATCCTATGATGCATACGGTAGCAGCAAGAGCGGTTTGGACGGCCATGGCCGAAAGGATGGCGCTGATAGCAACGGAAAACTGCATTTTGAAAGATAGGTAGAAACTTTGGTGACTTTTCGTCGTTGTGATGATAGACAAGGAATGATATGAAGCTTGAGTCTTTGAGTATCGAATGAGTGAAGTATGAGCAAGAGAAAGACTATGAAGGAGCGATCACCGTCACCTTTTATGATGTTCGACAGTTCGACGTTCGTTCAAGAACATCTAGAGGTCACAAGACACATTTCCTAAATGAGCAACGAAGGCCAGCCTTTCGAGTCATTTGGATCTTGGCGTCGACTCCTGAATATTAACTATCCATAGAAAACCTAAGATGACACGACGAGCTGAAAGTACCCCTTGGGGACTGTATGGAGCAAAGTAGACATTCTGCTCTCAACGTGGACACAAACGACAAGTCAAGTGTGCCCCGAACGCTGACAATTCCGCTCAGCAGTGCGATGGGAGGACCTCAAACACGGGCTGGCCGGAATATGGCTTGCACAGCAATTGGCTTGGTCTATCAATAGAGTGACTGCACCTTCCCGCATGAATGCTCAGGAGAAGAGTGGCCCGTCGATCATATTCCCGCTCGCAGTGCGATTATGTGTTTTGGTGGGCTCTTTCGGAGTCAGCGTACGAAGCTAACATTTTCGCGCCTAGTCTTGGCCTTACGACACGGGAGGTGGGTTCTGTGGCTGTGATGCACGATCACACGTGCTTTGACAAAATATTTAGTACCATCTTTAGCGCTTGGTTGGTTACTACGTTCTCTAAAAAGATCTGGAACGGGTAGGCAAACCTTAAAGACGACATGTCCTGATAGACTACCCTGCTGTACGTCTTGGCATACAGGCCCCTTAATACAATGCCGTAGTTTCAGCGACAGGCCGGCCTCTTTTGCTTGGCGGTAGGCCCAGACAAAAGTGGCATGTGCTGCGGTGGGCCATCTGGATCCGTAGCGAACGAGGGCTGAGACAACAAAATCGGCTGATGCTGACGGGTCCGAAGGGCCAAAATAAACAGGTTGCCGAGAAAACTCGTACAAAGAATCATGGTAAAATCCTACGACTCGCCAGGAGACAGACCTTCTTTGGTCAATTGACCTTCAAGCAATAGACGCCAACCACCTGAATAAATCTGCTGCAAGTCCTTTCTTGTGAAGTCGCCAAGGCCCATGCTGCTAATTAACAGTGCGGCACTTGCTACTTAAGCATATCGGCATCTCACTCGGGAAGTGAAGCATGAGTATAGCTGTTCGTGGCATATTCTGCTGGCTTGAGGTCTAGTAAGAAAGTAACTATAGCCATAGCCCGTGTCTCCGTAATGCAGGCGTGCATTCTAATATTTGCAGCTGTGGATCATTCCGTTTTCCCATCGAACTTCGCCGAACCCTTGCCTGTCGGTCGAATACGTTCTACAGTAGGGACGGAACAAAACATTGAGGGCCAGTCTAGCACAATCTCTCGCTTCTTGCCATCGCGACAGTAACGTAGCCAGAGCCCATACGTTACATTAATGTAGCAAGCGATGCCGGTGAACAAATGCCTTTCCTTTTGTCAGCGTATCGTCAGTTTCGAGACAACTGGGTTGCAAAACTTACCACCATCCATGTCCTTCAAGAAGCACGCCCCAAGGCAAACCAAGTTCGTGACGCCAGGCACGCAGCTGTGAGCAAAAGATGTTGTCGAGATTCCATGTCAGGAAGCCGATTGCTATGGCGCTTAGACCACATGTAATCAGGGTCCACATGGTCTTGAGAAGGTCTACATCAAGGTGCTCAGACGGGCTCTGAGGTTCGGATTTGGGCCGTAAGATCTTCTCCATGATATAAAGGCTTCGAAACACCACTGTAGCAGTGAGAATACCGAACATGACTTGGTGGAAGACCGGGTCGCCGAGATAGTGGTAGTAACCTGTGATGAAGACCGCTAAGCTGGTGACGAAGAGGCCAAGGAGAGTTTGGCCTAGGGTAGATTTGCCATGGGAAAACACTGCGAAGAAGAGGATGCATGTGGTGTATATCATAGACAGCTCATCGAACAGTTGCATCCAGTCTGCTATCTGTCAGTTTTGTCGTAGTCAGAGTCCTCGGGAGCAACGAACACTTCAAAGTGGTGTGGTAGAAGATGCTGGCCACACCGATTATCATGTAACCGATGTATGCAACGAGAAATACACCAGGGTGCTTGTTTCTGACACAGCTGGAAATTCCAACCAATGCCAAGTACACGAAAATGGCATTGGTGAACGTATTTACAACCTCGGCCACGTATGGTGAGACGTAGTAGTCCTGAGAACACTGGTCAGCTTCACCGGATACATCACCGCCCGAAGATGCATCTCCAAGAAAAGCAACGGATGACAGTGAAAGCTTACTTCCTCACACCAGTTTATGGTTGCCGTCACAGGATTCCAAACGCCATCCCCAGAAGGTGGGTAGGGTATGGATGGCAATGAGAACGACATCGCAACTCAGTATGACGGAAATGAAAACGGAAGGGATCTGCGAAACGGACGATGCTTCAAATAGGAATTCCCACAGAGTGCAGGCACTGGGCTGGCCTTGCCAAAGCCTCCGTTTCAATCAACCTTCCCGGGCTTTATCAAAATAATGACAGGCGTTGCATGCAAGCCGTTGTATCTGTCTTGCTTCCTTAAGTTAGTCGGGGCCTTGTCATTTCAGTCTTGCCGTTTCTCTAAGTGATGCGAATGCAACGTTGTTGCTGACGAGAGAGTGTGCGAAAGTCCCAGAGTGTACGGCATCCAGAAAAGCTGAACTGAACTTGCCACATAATTCGTTAGCAAGGCGCAGGGTATGCTTAACCGAGTTTCCGAGTACGTAATCGATTTTCTGCAACATGTCTTGGCCGGGGGAGTGGGTATTTGCCCCGGCCTAATCGTGGAATGCTTTGGGGCTTGGTATCTGTAGCTCCCTCGATAGTCGAGGATCTCAGCTCCACATAGGTAGCCATACTTTCAACCAAGCCCCCAAAATGTCAATGACAGCTCTTTTTATGATAGATCAAGAACTGCTACCTACGGAACTAAAACTAAGTATGTCTATCATAAAAGTGATCTCATGAGTCGCGCATAGCTGGAGATGAAACGCGACAGCTACAGCGCCACCTGCCGAGACTGCTCAGATTGTGATGTCAGCAATGATTCCTCCAGTTGAATGCATCATGTGTGAACAAAAAGGGTCATGAATAATCGGCAAGGCACAATTCCTTGCTGTTGCTAATCTCAGCTCTTCCCCATCTTCTCGAAAGGGAATGCGATACACGGGGAGCTTGGCAAGTGCAACTCTGGGCGAGTTTCTCAGACCGTTGGGGTCAGCATAGGACCCCGATTAGATTGAAATAACTAAGCTCTCCCTACGTCCCATGAATGTTAGGTCATTGAGTGAACCACTTAGAAATCAGCAATGTTGCACTGGCTCTGTTTGTGCTACCATCACCAAAGTCCTCAGCCACAGCTTTAACCCTTTTTGTCTATGCCGCAGTTATTATGCTAAGTTTTTGATTAAGATCCTTAAAGAGTTTGCCTTTGTGTCAAAAATTTTGGAATCAACTAGTGTTGCTGACAGATGGTCTTTCTGAAGCAACATGTTAATTGAAATTAATTGTAAACGAGATCAGATCACCAGAAGACCAGAAGAGTAGTACGCCGTTTCGACTTTTGTCCCTTAAGGCAGCCATTTGGCGACATGAATCTAGCGGGAATCCTCACTTCTCATTTTTTAAGCGAACTGAGCTAAAATTCTCAAGCTAAAGCGGTGGAAGACTCCTCTTTATGATTATAGACTTAAGAGACATGTCTAATACAGATCGTCTGAAGCCATCCACTAGATCAATTCAATCTAGTTTATATTAAGTACCCTAAATAGGAAGAGAAGCGCAGATTATAGAATAGATATAGAGATAGCTTATATAAATTAAGTCTATTGAATAATTATTAAAGAATAGGCTGTAACATCACGCCTAGTCTACTTTAAGCCCATGTAATACCTAGAATTCTTTACTATTATTTCTTAATCTTACTGTAACCATAGTCACCCTGTCATAAAGAACGATTTCTGTTTTGATGTGGCGGTTATTCCAAGCGGAAACTTTGCTTGTGCTTATATATTGCCGAAGCCTACGCACGATATCTCCAAGACCAATGTTTCCTAGCCCCGTCTAGCAAGTTCTCCATATCGGGTAGATAATCCTGCACCCCAGACTCAATGCTAGAAGTAAGACCCGCTTGAACACTCCGGTATGCCCATAAGCGCGCTTGATACTCGGAGCCAACACCATTCCATTCCAGCGCTGCTATTGCATACGCTTTGCCAATAAGAGCGGCTAAGCCCTCCTGTTCGTATAAGCCCACAAGTAGTTCAGCCATAGCTACTGATTCGGCCGGCGCAATATGCCTGTAATCTACTAACGCTTGTTCGAGTAATAAAATCTCGTTTACTCGGCTGTCAGACAAGTCGACGAACTCGCCGGGAGCCATACATAAGCTGCAAGTACAGTTAAAGCCGAGATACTGGTTGGCATATTCATAACGCTCCTGGGAGGTTTTCAATCCAGGAATATAGGAGATAGTAATCTCCTCGTCTGTGGCAATATCGCGGACCGCGTACAGGTTGTGCGTCAACGATTCCCAGTCCCACTGGGCCACAGCGTTAGGCCGACAGCTGTGGTTAATTTTCTGATGGTGTGTCAACAGTCGGACCCAGTTCATTGCTTTTGCGCTAGAAGCTTACCGAAATATTTGTATGTACGGTGATCATGCCAGCATCAGGTTCATCTTCTTTCCCCAGCCAGCTCGGAGGCATCCCTACAACTCCATATCCGTTTGTCCACATTTTTTGGCCTTGACTTTGCGTACCTAGTCCGGCATAAAGCTCGTCTACTACTAGACGTGTGACGCTTGGCAGTTGTTCGATAGCTAACGCTAGCATCGCCGAGTGAACGTTTTTTCCCGGTGGCGGAATATCTTGGAACCAGTTATGGTCCAAGATGATAATTGGTGATTCTCGAGAAATAATACTGCGTGCAGCTATCTGCTTATTGGCAAAGATACCTCGACCCTTTCGTCCGCCAATTTCGGTCCGGAACAAAGTTTCGACTCTGGTAGATTGACGTGAGGTAGATGCCATTAGGCGAAATATGTTCTGAGCTCGCTCTGGAGTCGTGACTATGGTTATACCCTTACCGTTGTTGAATCGAGAGTCGGCAAAAACGCAAAACTGCTGTTTTTCCTCAGGGCTGGCTGACCAGACACACGTGGACTGCTGTTCAGACGTGATATTGTGCTGCAAGGTGTGCAGATTGAACTCAGGTAGGTCTGGATAAATGGGGCAAAAGTTCTCAATCGTTTGATTGTCATTGAGGGACTCCGGACATTGCTCATTGGGTCGTGCCTGCGAGTTGTGCAACCAAGGCCCAACAACAAGAATGACTTGGAGCAGAATGTTTGTGTACTTGAGCAAATACATTTCGAGTAATTGGGGGTGTCGCATTTCGACGCAAGAAAAAACGCGTCGCACCAGCCGATTGACCCTCGCTACCTGTCGTGGTTTAAGACAACGATTGGGAGACAATGGTCATCACCCAAGTCGACTTGCTTGGGCTTGGGTCCGTCCCTGTGCGAAATTCGGGAAACCCTTCAAGCAAAGGCAATCTACCACAGAAATTCTGTCAGCCACCTAAGCAAAGTTCGCAAGCGACTTTGAGCTCTTGAACTCAAGTGAAGGTTATTAAGTTATCGTACTCACTGGGTTTAATGCGGAAGAGACACTAGATTCCTAAATGCCAGGCTTCGCACTTTAAAAATAAACTCTCTTTTAGTTTCCTAAATCAGAAGACTTAAGAAATACACACACCGCTGTCGTATGGCTGGAGCTTGCTCGACCAGAAAAGAAATTATAGGAGGCCGATATATAACAGTTGCAGTGCCGCTTATTTGCGAAGTATATCAGAATGCAAAATGCATGATGGCTCACAGTCTGACTTTATGCTAGTTATCACTAATATGAGATTGATAGCAGTTAGATGCTTTTGATTGGGAATTCTCCGCTACTAAAAGCTTTGCAGCATATCATTCGAAAAGTTTAGACACGGAACATGCTTGGCTTAGAATTTAGGCGCGCGTCCCTTAATGTAAACTTCTCTTCGCTAAGAGCGCACCTTAAGGTTGCTATCTAAGCAGGGTAGATCTATCGACAAATGTGGAAACAGCCAAAGGCTGGGATAGAGTTTATCCGAGTTCAGAATACCATACGAAGATGGTAATTATCGGCGCGTGCAATAGCCGCAGTGGTGTGATTTCAATTGCATCCGAGCTGGCTTTGTCCTGAAAGATATAGTTTCTGTGCCAGCTGGGGAGCCTATGGCTAGTGCCCAGCCCGTCGAGCCCTCATGTCGGAAGTGCACCGAGTCATCGTCATACAATTGTATATGATCAGAACACACAACTCTGCAGTAGATCCGTTTGGTAGCAAAGTTGATAGGAAGCTTTATCTCTCTTACCATGATATCTCCTACTGTGCGCCTGAAAGGCTGAATGAGTCGGTCCTAACAGCAATCCATCCTGCAATACCCACGTCCACCAGGAACAGCAAGACAACAGCTGCGAACTGCTATGCATGTGTGTCCAGAACCATAATAAGATTCCGATGACCAGTTGTATAAAGGCAGAATCCAGGAAGAAGATTAGGATCCATGCAATAGCTCGACCGGCGCGGAGAAGGTTCTCGGAGTCGTGAAGCACGAATGAATGCATGAGCGTGACGACTGCAATGATGGCTGCTGTGATTGCAGAGATAGCCAGCAAGGAACTCGCAACAGTAGCCATGACTGATGTGCTTGAGGGGGGACATTAGACAATACGGCCGTGGCGATCGTGCTAGAAACAACACGCACGAGTAAGACTTTGAGGTGTGAGTCCTCTAATCGGTGCAAAACTGTGGTAGCTACAGTTTATCAGCTTCTGGTAGTTTTACGTAGTGTCAGGTAGAGTTCCTACGTTTTTAGGTCATGAGATCGTTTTTCTTAGTGGCGGAATTCATCATGTGGTAATGCTTGCTAAGGGTTGATGATGATGACCTCATATATCTGAGAACTTATTGGGATCTGCAGGCTACCGGGCGGATTCATCGCGCTTAAGTTTCCCCTTTTACGGAAGTTTCCCATGTACCAATAGAACTTTTCTGGGGCAAACCTTCTCATCTGCAGCGTTATTCGGTCTAAAGCTGGGGTAACTCAAGTCAGCGGCGAGTTTTCCCACTTAGAGACAGAGGGGTGAAACCTTAACTACACCTCTTCCTGGCAGATTCAATGCTAGCCCTATCAAGTAAAGTAAAGAGCGATAACCTCTTAGCACAGGTAAACCTACAGTTGCTAAGTGACCTAGACGGTTAATAGCTCCTTATCTAACGTAAACTAGCACGCTGACAATCCCACTCAGATGTCCAGTGCAGCGAGTATATAAAGGGAGAAATTCAGCACCCCTCCATCCAGATTGAAGTAACAGCAGCAAAGGACGTTACACGAGCGTTCTAGAATACTTCTACTAGTTCCCTTGCTATATTTTCAAAGGAAAAGTCAGAATGCGCTTCTCTATCTTTCCATTGTTCCTATCCTCTATTGTTCTCGGAGGTATTGGACCACAGAGGCCCCCAGGGCAACGTCCGATGAGGGTCATGGCAGTCCATGGTCCTGGCGCCGATCCTGGCATGAACGGGGTACCGGTCTTGCCGATGAACGTTCCTCAGCTCATGCTTCCTCCTTTGATGATGGGGATGTTTATGGCTATGGCTATGGTTCCGAACCCTCCTGTCATGGCTCCTCCGGTCATGGAAGCAAGAAGAAGACCCCAAAAGAATCCTCACAGACGGGACGAGCAGGAAACCTTCGATGAACAACAGAAATTTCCGTAAGTGCACGAACAACCCGATTGTGTTTCGCGATCTGACTGGGCTATTTGCGGTACAGTGGTATTCAGAGAGTTCGGACTTCCAGAGTGATGTAAGGACTATGGGTATGAAGCACTCCCTAGTTGATCGCTCAGACGACATACATGATCAGCTGGTTTGGAACTCGGGTAAAAGGAACAGATCGTCTTGCCGGATGCCAATTTGATGAGGAAAAATCATCAAAGTCCTGTCACTACTTTGCCTTTTTTAACAGTTCCTAGTAGCTATACTAGATTGCTAATGCTACTTTACTCGACTATTCATAGCTACAGACTATATTAACAATCAGCGTGAAAGACTAAAATAAAAGAGATATGATACTAATTATTATTAGCGATAAGCTCCTAGCAGCGGCCTCTGGCCGTTCACAGTGATTTTCACCTGTTTAGAGCGACAGATCTCCTAACTCTGCGCCTCCTGATAATATACACAGCCTTTAGTTATGTGATTATAACTCTCTTAACTATAGCGATACTTACATATGAACAAAACCTCACGATCTTAAACTTCACTTAGATAATAATATAGTTTATAATTACTTAATTACTAACTACTAAACTGTTAACCTATCCTCTCTCTCGCATATCACCTACGCTGCTATTAGTAAGCCTACCTTTAGCACACAGCCTGCTAAGTGCACTGCTGATAATTAATTAGCATACTATCTCTATTACTGCTTTACTATCTGCTATTCTTCTTATTTAATTAAGCTAGCTAACGCCTTTATAGTAGCTATACTATTATTATATTATAACTTATAAGTAAAGATAATAGCTAAATAACTTATTTAAGTATTAGATAGTTAGGATAAAATATTTATTCTATAAAATTATAAGAATAATAAGGACTTACTTAGAAATAGAAGAACTATAGTATAAGTTATATAATATAAAGAACTAGATACCTAGCCTAAAGGGCCTAGTAATAGCTTAGCTAGTAGAGGCTATTAGTATATATATAAGCGTATTCAGGGGCGTAGTATATACGCCTATATAGTATAAAGTTATAGATAGGCTTATATTATAATAAAAAGTGATAATCCTAAGTATTTATAGGTATTTAATTATAT